CCCCAAAACCCCAAAACCCCAAAACCCCACAAGTCTCCAATATCCATACTGCATTAATAAAAATAAATATCGTTCAAAATGAGTTTTATTAAAATTTGATAATCAAATATAAACTTATCGTAGCTTAGAGTTAATATGGTTGAATCAATTCAGGATTGTAAATAGTCATAATTAATGATTTAGAACATATGAAAAAGAACGAGATCGAGTTACTTAGGGAATTTCAAGAGAAAAACTAATAGAAAATCATTCAAAGTTAGTAAATGGGTGGAATGTCAAATTAGGGAAGACAGGGAAATATATTGTCATCAGGGATAGCAGTTTAGTAAGACATGATAAATGATACATAATCAATGTAAATCTCTATTTTTCGCATAAACTCTAAATTTGGCGTAGGTTTGAGCCTCATAAAGACCCATTTTCTAAGAATAAGAATTACTCACATACCCCTGGTACAAAAAAGCCATCAAGATTTTTTTATGAGAGCATCAAGCAAAGCACGAAATCACTAAATAACTAGGAAAGGGAGAAATCAGACTATAGAGAGGATTGCACTGAGGACTTAGAAGAGGAAGATTCGGGCTCTGATTCAGATGATAAGGGTAGGAGCACAAGTAGTTCTAACCAATAGCCCACTTTATCGAGTCTTCAAGCAAATTAAATAGGCTATTCACCTAGTTAATAAGAGTTCAGTTAATCTTAGGGATAAAATTCAAGTCAAAATGATATAACTAGAGTAATGAAGAGCTAATAAAATGTCCATAATAAAGTCAATGGCTTGAATGACACCTCAATGGAAATGATTCACCCTGAAAATCTTGAATCCATTTCTTATTCTAATTTACAATAATCTTCTAATAATCCGAACTATCCAGAGCTTATCAAAGCAAATCCTTAACTTTAGTAGCTGTTTAGAAAGTAGTTCCATGAGATAATAGATAAAAAACTTAAAAAAAGTTTGTCTGCTTAGAGTAAGTTAAGCCAATTAAAGGGTTAGTATAAGAAACGCAAAAGTATAGTATAGGATAGCTTTAAGCTATAGGATAGCAGTAATAACTATGTCACTAAAAAGACAATCATCCTCAGTCTTGATGACTGCTTATTAAAAACTTCTATATTTAAAGAAGACTTGCCAAGAATTGATGGAGAGTTTGTGTACAACGGGTTAAATATCTTTGTATGCTATAGGCCATATATGAATGAGCTTCTAGCCTCGCTTAAATAAAGCTTCGAACTGATACTATGGTCTTCCTCTTAACCTGATTATACTGAAAAATTGCTATAAATATTAGATCCTCCAAGTGATGATAGAAAATTCGTTCACCATTTAGATCTTTCTCATTGCTAAAGAAGCGATGATGATACAATAATGATTAAAAATATAGACATATTACTTGAAAACAGAAGTAAGGATGATATTATTGTAGTAGATACAAACATGCATAATTACCGAGTTCATCTGACGAATGGCATCATGATACCTGCCTACCACATTGATAAGGATCATACAGATAAATGGCTTTATCATCTAGGCTGTTATTTATTTGAGTTTGTACCTGAGAAAAATGTTCGCTAGAAGATAAAGTTCGATTTTCAACTTGATCAAATCTTTGAAGAGAGTAAATAGAATCAAGCATATTTAAAAATCAAGACTACTCATGAAAATAGAATGCAAGAAATTTCAAGTGAAAAATTTTAAGATTATAGTAGTAACAATAGCTTCGCTGATGAATAAGCCAAAGCTGATTAATGAATGAAAACTAGGATATCAAAAAGATATTCTCAGACTAATGAATTAATAAAAACGTCAGCTTAATATTTAAATAAAAATAAACCAATAATCCTCAATCTATAGCCTTTAAATTCATCTTTAAGGGGTTTTGGGGTTTTGGGGTTTTGGGG